GTGACCTTGGTCAGCAGCAGAGGAGGGCTCGCGGCGTCGGGCGCGGACGACGACGGCGGGCGGGGGCTCGGGTGATCGCCTGCGGATAGGGGCGCCATGGGGCAGTCTTCCCGCCGTCTCGCCGCGGCGTGGCCCACCGGCGCGTCCGTGGGATGGCGTGGCAGACGGCGACGCGGCGAGCGTGCGGCGTGCTGCTCGTGGGTCGCCGTGTGGGGCCGCGGCGACGCGGGCCACGTGCGGCCGCACTCGCTCCGGTGCCCGGCCCGCGCGCGCTGGCGGTAAGCGTTGACCCGCTTGTAGCTCGGACATAAAGGGGCCGTTGCGAGAGCGAGCGGCTGTCGCCCAAACCGAGTAGACAGGTAGTAAACGCTCCTGCAGCAAAAGACGCCCCTGTGGTCGCAAGATTGGTTTGAAGGCAAACATATTCTTCATACCGGGAACGCGATTGTGCCGTCTCGCCTGATGCAATGATGGATGCTTAACGTGATCGTTGCGGTGCGTAATTAAGCTTCCAGTTTAAATTTGGACCTGTGGTGATTGTAGGCGTCTTGGACGCCGCGTTTGCGCTGTTAGGATGTTGGCCCATGGTGGGTGGAGTAGCGTTCTTTGTTATTCTAGTGACGAAACTGCTGCAGCTCGACTGTGCAGTATTGAACGGTGAATGCGCTTCTTTCTCAAATGTGTGGTTAACATTAAGAAGTATTGAAGAGATTTAAGAGGCTACGACAGTCTATTGGACGTCCGATAATAAAGGGACTGGACTGTCCCAAGACCGTTAATGGTGTCCCTGGAATGACCTTCTAAAGAAGAAGTGGTCGAGCAGGTGTCGCGGCGGACGGTCGGCCGTGGATCTTCAGGAAGGGTGCGAGTGAAGTCTGTGGTTGATGGATGTACAAGAGATGCTAATAAATGAACCTATTAATGAGATAATGAGAAAGTTCTGCAGAAGAAGCAGTGTAATGAGATGTAAATGTTTGCTTAACTATATAAATAAAATGGGACAAACGTTACTACTGCCGAGAGAACGTTGACTAGTGATCCCCGTGGTCTTAGCAGCTTTGCGAATGCATCTGCTGGAATTTGGTCATCTCTATGTCCAGCTGTCTTGAATCGAATACGTCCGTCCAGGAGGCTCGCCCTGTGTCCGAAGCGTCTGGCACCGAGCGCAGCAACCTGCACCGCGCGCGCGCCGGATGAGTCGAGGAAAGGCTTCGGGGTTACTCCAGCGTCGGGAAAGCGTGATGCGGGCGCTGGTCGCGGCGTTGGGAGCCCTGCGTGGCGGCGGGGTGGTTGTCCAGCGTCGCGCACGCTCAGTAGCGCTCGTGCGGAAGGAAGCGCGTGGCCGCGCGCCCGTGACTGCAAGGGCGCGTGACGTGCCGGGGAATGGCCGTTCGAAGACTCCCGGAAGCGGAAGCGCGGGGGAGGCCGGCCGGCGCGCCGGCGAGGTTGACTTGCGTGCTTGCCAGAATGCGGGCGGATTCCGGACGGTTTGTTGCGAGAGGTGGGTGCGAATTTTATTCGAACCTACCCGAAAAAAATTAAGATTGTTTGTTGGGTAAAAAAACTGTATCCTTTGGATGTTATAGTCTTTCAGCCCCAATTGAAAAAAAAAAAAAGAAATTAATAATCGAGAGCGCAATAGTTTCAACTGAATGTAAAAATGTTAAATCGCTCGGGAGAGGGAAGGATCCCACCCGTTTCACAAATTTGATTTGTGTAGTGTTTCTCGTGCCTTTTTGCGTAAGATATAGTTTAGAAAAATTTCAACAGTGTGTATAATGTACTCCACATAGTACGCTCTGATTAAGGAAGGAATGGTTGAATAGATAACGACTGTGGTGGTTGTCTCGTGGACGGATAAGCGAATGCGTCGTGCTGTTTGGTTGGGCATAGATTAAGAGTTTTTTTTTTTGTGCTTGCAGACGGGAGAAGGGCTGCGACTGTGGGAGCCTGTGGGGGCGCGCTCCGAGTCTGCGCCTGCGCGCAGCGGCTTCAAGCGCTGGGCCGCGGGGGGGCGGGGGCGGTAGTGCGCAAGGGCAGGCGTCCTGCCGTCGTCCGCGTGCGCGCTTCCGCTCGACGCCCGCGCGCCCGGCCGCGTCGGGCGACGGGCATCCGCCAAGGAGCACGCGTGCTGGCTCAGGTTCCTCGCGCTGTATTGAGAAATGCTGGTGAACTAATTCCTGTGAGTGATTGTTGTGTGGTTAAGATCAAACGACCTCTTTTGCAAACGATAGCGTATGTTTGCGACGAGGAGTAAGATTGCAGGGGGAAACGGCCCCTTCGAAGTAGCCTCTGCTGTAACTTCTCTCTTTCTGTCGTGGCGTCGCTTGCCGGGATTACAAGTTTGTGAGAATAGCTAATGCGCTTGAGCGCATGGCCCATTATTAATCAGGCACTGATGTTTTAGACGAACGTTAACTATGTAATTGAAACACAACTTTACTTGGAATTGAGTCTTGCTTTAATCCGGCCCTTCTTGCTCCATTGTTCGGAGATTGGTTCCTAAATGCGAAATTTAGTTGAAAATGGGAAATTTCAAGTTAGACTATCTGAAACAATATTTGAAAGGGGGGAGGAAGTGGAACGGGAATTTCCAAATAAGAAGTAAGCTCTTTACAATGAAATGCCTCGTCTTCGTTTGGCTAGAAGGTCAGTACGATATGAGGCAGGCCATATTAAATGGACAATTCCACTGTGACATTCCAATTAAGCGTCGAGTACCCTCTCGCTCCTTGTTGCGTTTGCTATGAGCTGCGGAACGTGCCATTGTCCGCTCTGCGGGATGAGTGCGGTTGATTCTGGCCGGCGCGGCCGTAACCGGCTGCCCGCACGTTCAAGCCCGGCATCGAGCGTCGACCGGCCGCCTCTCTCGCCTTTCCGAGAAATTCAGTTGGGAGGATACCGCGTTGTTACCACAGCGTTTCTCTGGCTGCTTTGCTTAGTTTGTCGAGGCGTTGTTATTTAATTTTTATTCCTAGCGTTTTGTTGTTTTTATTGCAATAAACTGGCAAAAGTGTTTTTAAAACTGGAAACGATGTAGTTGAGCCATTTATCCGTAGCAAGTTTTAGTGGCGTTGTTCCAAAAAAAAAAAAAAAAAAAGTAGTAATATTACAGTAGTAAATAGAATTCAATTTTGGAGTGCTTCATAACTCAATGCTCGATTAGCTATTTCCCCGAAAGTGTCCCAGGCTGGCCAATTTTGTTGCGGTTTCGTAGCCCCAAGGGCCGGACGGCCGCGTGTTGTCGGCTCGAAAAAAACGGCCTCGCAATACGCAACAGTGTTCCGCCAGGGCGGTTCTTGTTAGGCGGCGGGGGGGGTGA